CAGGGGCGGATCTTCATAGGGACAGGGGGGAGCCACGGCTCCCCCAAACTTTTCTAATTTTTTTTTTATATATATATATTAATATTATATTTATATATTATTATATTATTAATTATAATAAAACTAAAAAAATTATGTTAAAAAAGAGAAATTCTAATTTTTTTAATTAATAAAAAAATAATTTATAATTTTATATATATATATGAAAATAATCTGGCACCCCTAAAAATAATCTGGCACCCCTGAAAAATTTTTTCAAGTTCCGCCACTGCTACTGCAGTTCTTTTCTTTCATTGTCATACGAAAACCTAGGTCTTAGGCGATAGCCAAGTGTTATGAAGAAGTCCAGATTGCATCAGACTACAACAATAGCTATATGCTAAATTTTCCAAAAATTGTATTACTTGAATAACGCGGTAATCCAAGTCTGCAATACCATGTCATCAATTGTTAAGTCTTTTAAACACACACAAAAATAAATAGAATTGTGTAACAACTTGGCAAAAATGTCTTTTCAAATTTCAACTCACGGGCGAAGTCATTCTAAGCTTGAATTATTACACAAAACCTGAAGTAAAAACGACCATGAAAATTGAAAAGGTATTATCACAAAGATCAAGATTATATATGGCAAGCAACGAAAATCAAATGTGTAATGATAATTAATAACCAAGGACGTTGACATTTCGCCTCCGTTAGTGTTGACTCGGTTGCTTGAAAAAATGAATTCGCTGTTTGAGTTTGATATAAATGCCGGATAGATTTGGTAACTTGACAACAATTCAATTTAATGGCCATTAAAACCTAGAATTCCAAGCAAGAGAATCGCAGATCCAGAAATCGCAGAGTCGAGGCGCAATTCACCTGAAAGTCATAGCAAGAGAAATCGTCACTGAGCTACAATTCACGAAATTGCATCGAACCATCACTGAGTCAATGCCGAGTTCTCAGCCACGCAAACTCCGTGTCTCTTCAGAAGATTTCCAAGTGAAGCTTGCTCTCTATCACTCCGCAATGATTTTCAGTGGAATAAAATGGATAACGAATGTAATGTAATGTAAGACGAGTCGGTAAAACTATAAAATAAAATAAAACTTAATCAAAAAGAATATAAAAAAAAATGTATTGTGAATGAATGTGGAATGTAATTTTAATTTTAATAAATAAAGAAAGCATTAACTTTTAAAAGGATGTGACTGAGAAAGAGATATAGAAATATTTTAATGATATATTAAATAACTAATATTGGTTTAAAAAATAGGGGAGGGAGCACGAGTATGGAGCAAGGACTTAGGACAGGTGCGGTCTAACGTGCACCGGGACGGTAGCAGCACACAAAACGATGACGTGTAGCTGTCAATGGAGTAACTCACGGGAACGTGTTACCCCCACCTCGCCATATCCGGCTAATCCTTGCTAGTTGCTAGGTTAATCACATCATTGCATTAAAGCAACTGCTAGTAATTTTTAATTTGAAAATTTTAGCGCCATTGATTTAGTGTGCTGGGATGTGATTTTGTGATTCACATTCACCCATGGATTCACATCAAATCCTTGCAATTGATGCAAAAGTCATATGTATTTGCTTCTCAAAATTCACTTCAATTTGAGTCAAAAATGAATTCCAAAATGCTCAATATTGTTAAAACGAAATATATTTGAAAATAAATTAAAATACATTACTTAAAAATATCTAAATTAATAGTTTGTTATTGGATCCACTTGTATTAAGAATTTTTTTAATCAAAATATTCTTTGACTAAAAGATTAAACCATGACTAAAAATTAAGAATTAATTTAAAGTACTGACATCTATTTAAAGAATTGATTTTTTCAGATAAATATATATATATATATATATATATATATATATAAATTAAGAATTAATACTCAACCACATACTTAAGAGAGAGAAAATTATTTATATATCAATCATATCATATCTTATTGGTACATATATTAAGAGTTAAATTATTAAAAAGAATGAGTATTTTTTTTTTAATTGGAATTTAAGAAAGATTTACTTTTATAGAATTTAATATTTTACCTTCTACTATCACTTTTTGATATAGTGTGAGTAAAATTGCACTATTGAGTTAAATAGGTCAAGTTATTTGAGAAGGGTTAAACTATTATTTTAGTAACAATTTTTATTTGATCTCTAAATAAGTTAGTTATTTTTCATTAATTATATTGTAAATTCAATTTTTATTTCAAATATACCATTTTCTTTTAGTGATTATTATATTTAATGTTAGTTATAAACAAATGTGTTAAAAATAGAGTTAACAATAAATTAAGGATATAAAAAAAAATTAATTATCTATACACTGTTAGTGTAAAAAAATTTTATACTAGTAACCAATTATATCTTTTAATTGTGTCATGTCACTATAAACACATTTACTTTTAACAGTGACATGGCACAATTAAAATATATAATTAGTTGCCAGTATAAAAAAACTTTACACTGGCAGTGTATAGATGATTAACTCATAAAAAAAATATCCTTGGATAACTTTAAAACTGATGAGTAATTACTTAATTAGGAAAAAAAATTAATTTATTGTTTATAATTAAGACTAAAGATAATAGTAAATAAAAGGATGTGTTGTTTGATGCAAACTAAGATACATTATAAAAATACCAATACAATACAAACACTTAAATTGCTTGATAACTTTTTACTCTATATATTGGTTGGTTAGTCATGAGTGATACAAAGAAAATAATGTTAAATTTATTACTATGCCTTTTTAAATATTAATTATCCTAATAAGTTATTATTAATTATGATGGTGGTGGTAGTATTAATGTTAATGAGGATAAGAGTGGTTATGTGACAACAACTACAATAATATTATCGATAATAACAACAATAATAATAATAATAACATTAATGATAAAAGAAAGAATGGTAATGGTGTAATAATAATGATGATAGTCATAGGTGTTTTTATCTTTTGAGTATTTTGTTAATAAGTGTCTAACTAGTCTGATGAAATATAAATTTGAAACACTTATCTAGCACAATTTTTGTATATATTGATATAATTTTGGCCAATATACTTAGAATCAAAGAGGGACTCTTAATTTACGTTATTACAGGGGGAGTGATGAGTCTTTTGATCAGATTTTGTGTTTATTTTGTAGGTTTTGAAGTCTGGAGGCAAACGACTCAGCCCTTCAAAAGGGCTGAGCGCTTTCAAGCTAGAGAGCTTAACAAGTGCACCAAAGGAGAGGCGCTCAGCCACTCCCAAGCGCTGAGCGATTCTGGCCCTGGAAGAATGAGTGTTCTCTACCTCCTAGGCGCTCAGTATATCTGAAGCGCCCAGCCCTTTTGCTTGCTTAATAGTGAAGGATCATCTAAGGCGCTCAGTGGATTTGAGGGGCTCAGTCCTTCAGATTACTTCATACTGAAGAATTCTCCAAACCTCTCAGCCGTTTCAAGGCGCTGAGCGGTTCCTTCTCTTTCCTGCCTACTCTGTTTTAATTTCAGCACCTATAAAAGGGCAGAAGAGAGAGAAAACACAGATCACAAGTTGCACGAAGAGAAGAACAGAGACAAGAAAGAAAACAGAGCACCTTGGAGCTCGTGGGAACGCGGTTCTTCAGATGATCTTTTTCTTCTACCTTTCCTCTTGTTATTTTGTGCTTTCTTCTTTTATGGAGAGCTAAAGCTCTAGGGTTGGGATTAATGTAATCATCGAACTCCTTTGTATTCCTTTTTGATTCATATATATATTACATCTATTACTCAGTGTCACTGATTTGTATTCTGTTCTTAATGCTTTGATAAACTGATCATTTATCTTTGATCTTGGATTTATAATTTGGTTGGAAAACATTTTTTGAATCTAGATTTGAAACAAATCACCTATTAGTTTTGAAAGTCAGGGATGGTTTTGAAATTAATAGTTGCAACAAGTTCTGATTCTTAATGCAAGACATTTAACTGAATAAAGTGAGGAATCATTCATCGAGTTAAATATCTTAGAATTTCTTATGCCAAGGAATTGGGTATGAATGAATATAGAGAACTCAATGGCAATGAGTAATAAAATCATTTGTAAGAATCAATAGGAATACATAAGAGGGAGATTGATGAAATTTAATCCCAACTGTTTCTCATATCTGTTTTTCTTAAAATTAATCTGACTTTGGTTATTTAAGTTTAAATCACTGATCACATCAAATATTTAACATGTGTGAATATTCAAGCTTTGAATTTACAAGTAACAATTAGTATAATAGAAATCAAAATCTACTTCACAAGTCCTTGAGAATCGACTACCTTTATACTATATTATAGAGACTTGGATGCGCTTGCTTGGAATAGTCATAGGTGTTTTTATTTTTTGAGTATTTTGTATTTGATACAAAAAATTGTCTCATAATTAATTAAGATATAAAAAATAAAGTTAATCTTGTTATTCTTCATTTGATTTGTCCTAAACATGATGTTTTGTAAATCAAATATAAAACAATAGGACAAATGACTTATCAAGAATTCACAATTTGATCTATTTATTAAAAAAGTAAAAAAAAAAAAAAAAAA